CCTACAATTTCAGCACTAGATTTTATAAATAAAAACCTTGGCAAACCCTACCGCACTAGAAATGCACAGAGAAACATGACTTGATAAGTGGGTTACTATTTGAAATATCATTTTCAGAAGTGTCATAGGCACTTATGAGCCACAGAAAACTAGGACACAGACAACAAAATAATCGCTGATGGTTAAAAACCACCTGATTTCTAGACTCAGAATTTACCATTAGTGGTACGTAGATTTTAGTTTGTTCTCCTTGACACCATGAATTATATTCTGACACCTAATCTGAAGATAGCCTTTTTTTTTTTTTTTCTTACTTTAGATTTTGTTGCGTATTATTCATCCTGTAAGAATTGGTGTAGCTATCTCGATAAGAGCTGGAACAAGTTTTGCTATTACAGTTTTCCTCAATAATGCAAATTTCTAGTCCAAGTCATATCGTTCAAAGACAGCACTGCTTCCAAGGACAGTACGGCAGCACAACAGAGATTAAAAACCTGGCGTACACTCTTCACTGATCCAATTACTCTTGAGTCTTTCTATTAACTTCATAAGGAATAGATAAAACTGAAAACAAAACACTCTTAACTGATGTCCTTAGCAGGCACTCTCACAGGAAACTAAACTCCTGGTTAATGAACAACCTGTCTTTCTTTTCCATGTTGTTTGCAAAGTTACACAGTAGGAGTGTCACAGATTTGTGTATTGTGCATGATCAGTAGCTATGGTACATGAAAAATTTTAATTCAGTCATTTTTAATCCATAATACTGGTCAAATTAGGACAAAGTATGAAAAAGCAGAAAACAAAGACATGTAAGCTTTTTGGAGTTTTAGATAAATGACAGATGTAGAAAAAAGTACAGAAAGATGAATTTAAATAGACAATTCAGTATCAAAATTAGAATTTTATTTTTGTTCAGTGGACTGGAGAAATTAGCTAGCTGCAGCACTCGGTACACAAGACACCTCAAGTGTTTCATCAGCACATGGAAGTGGGAGTTGCCAAGACATTTAAAGAAGGGCAGATACTGATTTCCAATAAATCAAACAAGGTATTGCATTTTATCATTTTCTCCATTCCTATTATAAGAAAGGAGGGATAAGGATATAACATGAATCTTAACAGATGGAAAGATCTCCACTTTATTTTAGGATAGTTTCCATACTACAAGTTTTAATGCTATTTATTACTTCCTAGGATTTGCTTTTTTCTAAAGCAAATAATGACAAACTTGATTTACGTATTCTGTGAAATATGGCAGAGCTATAAAATTGCAGTCCTGCATCATTCCATGCAAATTTTAATGATCAATCTCAGTGGTACAAGATTGGCTCCCAAATTAGTGAGATTTCTGCAACGCAAGTTAACTTTTGCAATGTACTTCAAAACCTTCAACTCACATGTCAGTTGATAGGTGAGACAATACTTCAGTAGTTTGAGTGCTGTAAATCTGTCAGATATGTATTTTTTAATTTAATTATAGTCATAATTCACACTGAAATGGGTTAACTGTGAAGAGCTCTGTCCAAATAAATATCAGAAAAACATCCCAGCCTTCTCTGGAGATTAACTATGGTCCAATTTTTGAAGCATCCTGCACATGGGGAGATTGCACAGAAAGTACTGCTGTCCCCTCTGGATCAGTAGGTTCCACACAAATACAGCAGCTACTCTTGTAAAAAAATTACATTTTTTCTCAATTTAGACCCCTCATTCTGTAACCAGTGAAAGCAGTATGGGAGGGAGAGAAGCATCATAATGTTAACAGGAAAACACAGTTGTACAGAATTGCAGTGGCCAAAGTTTTCAGGTTTGAGGTTGTGGGGAACTTGTTATAAATTATTACTTTGATTTTTGTCTGTGTGGTTTTTAAGCTGTTCACTTACAAAAAACTTGATGAAAACATGTATTTCTGCTTTTGGGTTTTACTGATTTTTCCTGGAACTTTATACACTAGAATCAATCAAAGAATACAGCAGACTTTTTTTTTTTAGTACTAACCGCAGTTAATAAGGACTTACCAAGGCCCAACTTTCTTGCTCTGGGTCTTAGAAGCTGCAGGATATATTAAAATATACATATATTACTTGAAGTACAGTTTCTAATCAATTTTAGTGATACCTTGAAATTCACTATTTTCAAGGTATAAAAATATTTTAAAACATACTTTTCATTTTTTAGAAATCTACATAACATATAAAAATAAATTCATCTGTCAAAATACAGGAGAAACAAACCGTTGTATTAAACAGGTATTTGATCAGGTCACATTTAAAAACAAACCCCTTTTAAGCTTTACATAGTAGTTCTGCAGTAAAAAACAAAATTAAAAGCACCATGTTAGTAACTAAAGGATTTCTTCAAATTCCACTATCTGAAATAGTTATAAATCCGAACAACAGTCTCTCAGCACCGTTATGTTTAAGGAATGACAAACACTAACAGCAAACATTTTTAGCAAGTTTCCCAAAGTGATTTAGCGTACTTTTAGTAACGAACATAAATGTCAAGACTTTCACGTGCACATAGATATAACCCATGAATAACGACCACAGGACAGTATTATTAATCTTTCATGACATGAATGACCAAGCTTTAAACCTGTGCCCAGTATCCTCAGCTCCTGCAGGGCCATATGAAGTACAGGGGGAGAACGGGGCACCGCCACTAACAGAAGAGGAATCCAACTTCTAGATCATCATGACAGTAATTTAACTTTCAACTCTTCCTGAAGTGGCTTTGTCAGCATTTGGGGAGGAGACGGTAGGTATTTAAGCAGTCATCTAAATATACTTCAGAAACAAATTTTAAATCTCACTTTTAAATCTGGGCTAATTTTCATGCATTATCTGAGAGGTCATAAGTAATGTAATTCAGAGAAAGACATGGATATAGAAGTTAGTAATCATTAGTGCTTCTGCTGATTTGTTATTTTGGTTTCTGAGGGTTTTTGTTCTTTAATAGTTAAATTTGAACATTAGCAAAAAAATCGCTTTGATTCCTCATCTACTTCCATGAACATGTTGGCCTCTCATTAAGTTAACTACATACCATGTTCAGTAAGCGTAAGGTAGTGAAAAGCCCCATGGAGTTATTTGGATGACGACTCCTGAGCACAAATCGGAACACTGATTTTGCTCAGGAAACAAAGAAAAGAATTTCAGGCAAGGAAAAATAAAATTATCAGGAAACAATGAAAACTCACAGCTGATTTACACTTCTGCAGTAATAGCCGTATGAGCTGAAGGCAGTGCCTCCATCTAATTCCGCTCAAGTGTGCTTGGCTCAACACTGCTGCAGGGGTTGGTCCACAGATTAAACTTCAAAATTAAACTCTTAAGCAGTGAGGAAAGGTTGGATAACTGTTTTAAACTTTTCTATTACTAGTATCCAAAAAGAAAAAAAAAAGGGGAAAAAAAAAAAGACTCTAAAACTTCCATACATGTTATTGTTTAAGTAATCTCTATAAATGGTACTTAATTCACAAATACTTTTTAAAACCTTACACTTACACAGTAATAGATTAGGAAAGTGCCTGACACTGCTTACAGCACAAAACCATCAAACTGAAAGTTGGGTTTTTACGCTATTCTACAATAAAGCTTTCATTGGGGAAAAAAAAAAAAAGCAGCTTAATGGCTCATAAAGACTAAATAAATGCCACTATCTTGTTGTATATAATTGACGGTTATACAGTAATATATGAAATAGAAAAAAAAAGTCCTGTTACTGAGGAATGCAACTAGACAGATTAAAAATAAATCACAAAACCAGACTGGCTTTCATCTTTCCATTTCCCTATTCCTGCAGTCACTTAAAATGAAATTAAAGTTTGTCCAAACCTTTCCCTCGGGCATGCACAACGGACACTAACAACCACTGTTCATTACCCAATAGCACACAGCAATGCACAAAGCATTGAAAACATTTTCCAAACTTTATTTCATGATTCTGCATATTAGTTCATAATGCTGCTAAGCAGCTGCAGGACTAGCGTAATTTTACATTTGTCTAAAGTGGCGTGCAAAAACTTAAATAACTTGTTTAAGGATGTAAAGAAAGTGCAGAATGCAGGGACTCTGTTCCAGTTCTCTAAGGACTTCAAGTACTTTCCAACAGAATAAAAATGAAAAAAAATACAGAATATACAACTCACTATTTTATCTGATCCATATATCTTTTGCAATTGTTCAGCAATTTCCTGTGTCCCATCCGGGCTTCCATCATCTATGATGATGATTTCAAAATTGTTTCCACTGAAATGAGAATTATTTTTAAGTGAACAAATGGAACCCCCAGTTTCGCTACCTATGTCATTTTGAAAGGCACAGAACTAAAGAATGGAATACAAAGTCATTTTCTGGCAGAGATACACGCTATTGTTATTCTTG